GCAGCAACATCTTGACAGTCATCCACATCTATTTCAAAGAACAACACATTGGAATATTTTTCAGACAGGGAATGAAAGAAAGGCTTGATCATTTTGTAAGGCCCACACCACATGACTGAGAAATCAACTACTACAAGTTTATCTCCTACACCAGCCAGGGCTTCCTGAAAGGCCTTTTTGCTTTCGACCTGCTGCACCTTGCTGGCTGCTGGGGACCTGACGAGCTGCTGCTACCAGCTACTGCTACTGAAGCAAAGGATGGAAGTGGATGGAAGGCGCCTGACATAGCTCTTAACTTCTTTTCTTGTGCAAATCTGATCCTAAGTACAAGGAGAGCTTGAGGAGTAGAGTTACAGCCAGGGAGGGTGGATGATTTATTTTATTGAGAAACAAATATCAATGAGACAGTTTCAAAACTCCTTAATAGGACAGTTTCAATAATACATTGTACATTGTTATCTTCTTAGTGGTTATCCATAGTACAAGATGCAGACAGAATGTCCTGTCCAAACACTATTAGTACAAATCTTTCTTCTCATTGAATTAAGCGAAAGTAGCTGTATATCTATCCTAACTATTCTGCATATACAGATACAGATACAAAATGGTCCTTCCTTTGTATCCCCTTTTTTTGTTTAGTCCTGTCAGAAATGGGTATTCCATTGGTACCTAAATATTATAGGTGCGTGAATTCAGCAAAATAATTCAGCACAGTCTAGTAGTCTACAATAGTAGTGAGTTATCCACAGAAGTTGTTGACTTGAGCTTTTCAAAACTCAGCATATTAATATGGCTTTACTTTATATACCTTGTTTTTACACTTTTGTGCTGGATGGTTAAGACCAAGATAAAGCAAGACCTGTATAACAAGAAATGTAACTTTTGTATCTGATAAGGTCAGTCAAGTACCCTCAGGATTTATCCTGTAACCCTGTACCGCAGTTGGCAGATCCTTTGTCAGTGTCAGCTGTGTGGATGAGTCATGGCCATTGCTTGACCAATTTGCTCTCTGTGAAAGCCTGAGAAAATGTTTTCTCTCCATGTGACTCTCCTTAGGCACACTGTAGGTCATCAATCATGTTGCTCTGTGGACTCATAATCTTCTTGATCAGAAAATTTGGGACACAACTGAGTTACATGATGCTACACTATAGGTTCTCCTATGTCCTGAGTCTTCACTGATCTTGAAAGGCTAGGGTCAAAATGTTGGCTCTCCTTGCAGCCCTTCTTTTTCTCTAATTTTTTGTCTGCAAACTTAGGTTGCTAACCCTCCAGAAGAGAAGCTTATTATTACCCTACATCTTATGCTGGAAAAACTGGCTCTCTACACGCTGAAAACTAAAACTTGACCCAGGTCTATCATCATGCACTAAGCTAAAGTCAAAATGAATTAAAGATCTAAACATTAAAACAGAAACAGTAAATCTCCTGGAAGAGAAAGTAGGAGGAACTCTTGAAGACATAGGGGTAGGCAAAGAGTTCATGAACAAAAATCAAATCGCATGGGTAACACTTGAAAGAATTAACAACTGGGACCAACTCTTATTGAGGGTGGATGATTTTAGCAGACGACCTTCAGCTAGGATAGCTTAAAGGGCAGGCCACATGCAAGTGTCTGGGTCACGCGACCATCTCCTCTGGCTAGTGGAGGATTCTTGGCCCTTTGCTACCTTTGGGCTCCTGGTGCTCTGTGCTTTCATGGCTGGCTGCTTCCCTTTGGATGAACATCCCTTTCTGTTTCCTAATATGACTAGTTGAGTCAAACACATCATAATCAGGCCCCCTGTGTATGGTTTTGTACACCTAGGCCTGATCATTTACATGCTAATCTTATGATTTATCTCATTAAATAATGATAATAATCTATTTAGATTTCATCTTTACCAAAGGGAACTCACATTTCTAATTTTATGTGCCTATAAATAAATAAAATAGTGAACATGAATGAGTGTCCATTAGTGCTGGGCCCTGGCACTTCATGCCTGTTAGCTCCTCTGACTTGGCAAGGCTGCTCTTGCTGTACAGTGAAGGACCTGAGATCACCCGGCTTACTTTACCCAAGGGGTGAAGATAGAATGCGAACTCGGGAGGTTCAGTTCCAACAGTCTCTCAACTCGTTTGACCACTGGGCATCTGAATTCTAGAATCTGGCTTTGTGAACACCTCTGTGTGTGTGTGACCCCTGGGGGATCTGGGCATTGCTAAATTCCGATTGGTTAGATTTTCAACTATTAGTGGAGTCACAACAGCTCAGATTTCACAATGACTTTTGCAATGAATCGATGTTGCTTGGGCTTTGTATTGTATATTGTAATTCATGCAAAAACTTATGTGAGTGTATAAGGAAATATCTGAAAGCATCCAGATTCACAGATCCTAGCAATGGAATACTCCCTAACCACAATAGTTCTTTCAAAAAGCAGACATATTCCTGTAACATAATTTCCACAAATCAAACTCGGCATGGATACAGGAGAATATCTAGGAGTGCAAAAGCAAGAATTTTTTTTTTTAAATTTTATTTATTTATTTATTTATTTTGTGTGTGGCCAGTTCAGCCCACCAGGGGGTGGGGCTGGCTGGCATGTGGTGCTGGGGATTGAACCGTGGTCCCTGTGCTTTGCTTAGCTTAGCTTGTTCTAAATAGGTGCTTTAGACCACTGAGCCATCTCACCAGCCCCAAGAATTGTTTTCTGAAGAGATTCTGAAACATTACATTGTAATACTTGTAGCCCAGACATATGCAGGCTACTTTGTATTGGACATTAAGCCCTCTCTCTATATATTACCTTACATAATCATCAAGAAACCTTCAAGGTAGGCAAGATTTTCATCTTCATTTTACAAATGAGAAAAAGAAAAAAACAAGAAAAGGGAAATAATTTGGTGCCTCAGTTATTGGAAGTAGCAGAGTCAGGATTTGAACTCAGCACCCTGACCTGTGTTTGCAACACCTGTGTTTCATGGGGAATCACTGCGGCTCTTGGTCTCAGTGCTCAATACAGAGCCATTTCTGTTTGTGCAGTTGCTTCTACTGTCTCCTCAAGGCCAGTTGTGACTTGCAACGACAGTGCAGTAGGAGGGGCTATGGGATGCTCAATGCCTATCATTTACCACCTGTACCTAAGATTTTACAGTGTTGAATAGAATGTTTTTGTGCCTTCAGAGGTCCGTTCCACCTTGAGGTCCTTTCCACCTTCAAATTGCATGGTCAGAGAGGAGGCAGGAGTCCAGATGAACGGATCAAGGGATGTAATGAATCAAATATTTCAGAGAGGGTTTAAATTGTTTAGTATAAGGCCTGGGAGAGAGCTCGGTGGTCTCAGTGCCTGCCTCGCAAGCACAGGGACTGGGTTCCCAGCACCACATGCAGCACCTGCCGTGGAATCCTGGGCACTCCTTGCTGGCTAGTGAAACCTCTCGTGGTGGCACATGCCTGTAATTCCAGTGGGGAGGTGGAGATAGGAGGATCACTACAAGTCCGAGCTGAATAGTGAGACCCTGTACCAAATAAATAAAGAAATGAAAGATCATAAAAAATTGTTTAGTGTAAACACAGTCTAAGGAGGCCTTCTCTACAGGAGAAGGAATGCAGAAAGGTGGAGTGTTTTGAGTGCATATACAGAAGCTGGCTGAATGGTGTTGGTGAGGAAGAGGGCAGCTTACACGTACAACTTACTCTGGGTGAAGCCGTTTTCTCAGTGGAAAGGGCTATCAACGTTACAGTTGGCTGGAGCAGTCGACTGAACTATTTTTGTATTTGGTACAGGGTCTACAGGGTGTACAAGGTCTCACTACGTAGCTCCGAGTTGTAGTCATTCTCCTGTTTTCAACTTCCCGAGCGCTGGGATTAGAGGCGTGCACCACCACGCCCAGTCTCAATCGCCATCTCAGTGTGTCCTGGGGGCAAGGCCAGCACAGCATGTCAGGGATTGAACCCTGCCGCACTGTGCTCTGCCTAAGCAGGTGTTTTAGTCTGCTGAGCTATCTGGCTGGCCCCAAAAGTAACTTATTTATTTGTACAGGGTCTCACTATGCAGCTCAGACTCGTAGTAATCCTCCTGTCTCAGCCCCCCTCCCCCATGCAGGGATTACTGGTCTGCACCACCACGTCCAGTTTCGGGGCTGGCATAGCACACAGCACCTGGGATGGAACCTGGGTCCTTATATTTGCCAGGCAGGCACTTACACCACTGAGCTATCTCCTCAGCTTTGGACTGAACTTTTAATGTATCAGAAATGGGCCACTAGAGCCCGTTAGAAATTTTCAGGAACTGATAATCAGGACATCCTCCCGGGGATAGTTACTGAAGAGGCTGAGATGGGCCCCTGGAAATTTCCCCATACACGCTGTGCGTTGAATTTGGGCTACTTTATAGACTTTCTCCTGTCTTTTCTTGCCTATTATTTATAATCAGCAACTGTCTCCACCACAGAACTTGTGAGAATTAACTGAGTTAATGCACGTAACACACATGCACATGATGAATAGTAAGAATGAGAGTTGCTATTGCTGTCGCCATTCTTGGGGCCAGGGCTGCAAGGGGGAAAGAAGACTTTTTTCCTGCTAGTAACCGTTGCGCCCTGCACGCTTTGCCTCTCTCCTTGCGGGAGGTTCAGACTCAGTGTCCCGGCCGCGCAGAAACTGTCCCGGGCGCCCTTGGGAGCGCTCAGGGCTGGGAGAAGGAGTAGAGGCTGAGGTGGGTGGAGCAAAGGGAGCCCCAGAGAGGGGCGAGAGCGGGGCTCCGAGAGGAGCAACAGTTCGCAGCGAAGCACAGCTTTCGGCCTGCATCCAATTCCATTGCTTCTAGTGCCTACTCTCGACTCACCGCCAGCCTAGACCGCTGTCCGGGACTCCCCTTTCCACACCCCGCTTCGGCCCCCGCCGGCGATTGGTCCGCTGTCCTGGCGGCTGCCGCTCATTGGTGTTCGCCGACCGGGGCCACCTGGTTTAAAGAGGGGGCGGGGACGCGGGCCCAGCAGCGCTCGATCCTCCGCGCCCGCTGCTGTCCCCGCCTCGCCCCCGCCGCAGTGCCGTCCGCCCGGGCTCCCAGCCCCTCGCGGCTCCTATCCCGCCGCGGGTACGGCCTCGGCCGATCGCTCGCCTGCGGCTCCATAGCTCAGCCCCGCGCCCTCCAGGGCAGGCGCTGTCCATCCTGCGGCCTGGGCACAGCGGAGAGGGGCTAGGTGCGCGGACGTCGGGGAGGCCACCATGGTGGCCACGTGCCTGCAGGTGGTGGGCTTCGTCACGAGCTTCGTGGGCTGGATCGGCATCATTGTGACCACGTCCACCAACGACTGGGTGGTGACCTGCGGCTACACCATCCCCACCTGCCGCAAGTTGGATGAGCTGGGCTCCAAGGGGCTGTGGGCCGACTGCGTCATGGCCACCGGGCTGTACCACTGCAAGCCCCTGGTGGACATTCTCATCCTGCCCGGTAAGGACTCCGCTTGCGGACTGTGCCCTCCGGCTGGACCGGAGACGGGGCTATTAATATTCACAGAAACATTTTGGGACTCAGAGGCCGGGGGACACATTTTGGATACCTCCAGCCCCATCTTAGTGTAGGACAATTGGGCAGCCCTAAACGTACCCCCTCTCGGCCTCAGTTTTCCCATCTGGAATTTGGGATAATAGTCCTTTGTGCAGCGCTGACTCAGGCGCTCTGAGGATTTCATGAACGGAGATGGAGACGCAGGCAGCTGTAGGAGCTCATCCCCCTCCCGCCCCGAGGTCCGTGGACCAGAACTCCTCATGACCCTTGCCCGACCTCTCCCACAGACTCCCTGCTCGCCCTGTCGCGCAGACCCGAGGGGCGACAGGACACGCCGTACGTGAGCGGTTCACCCGGCGCCGCTGGAGTCAGGGTGCTCCTAGCCTCGCCAAGGGCGCCCACGGCGGCCCCACTGAGCAAATCCCGGGGTGGCGCTCGCAGTCCCCATGGCCTATGCTGGGTCTTCCATCCCCACCGTCTCTGCTGTGGAGGCGACAGCGGCAGCGAGCGCCAACGCGGGCAGCGGAGCCGCCTGCACGGCTCCGGGTTGTCTGGGGGTGGGGGGCGTTGGGAAGAGCGGGACTCCTGAGGGCTAGAGGCTGTTGAAGTCACCCCGGCCCCGACCCCAGCTGTGTCTCCAGGTGGGAGCCCGGGGCAGGACTGACGGCCTCGGGGGCTGGGGGTCTGGGTCCCATCTTCCTTTGCCATCCTGCAGGAAAACTCTGGGCAACAGTTTCAATTCTGTGCCAGTTGGACGAGAGGGAGGTCTCGGCTCATTCAGGGTGGCTGCTGGAATCTGTCCTGCTGGGTTGGCTTCCGCTCCCTCCAGCCCCTGCGTGGTGGCTTTGAGGATGCAGAGAAGCGGCTTCCTTAGGAGGGCAGAAGCCGGCCAGCCGGCCGTGGAGCCAGAGGCTGGGAGACGCTCACTTAGGGCCTTCTCCAGGAAGAGTCTTTCCCCAGAGACTGCACCCTGTTAGGTGTCTCCACATGAACCCCACTTCCCAGGCCTGGCAGTTGGGATCACTCTTCCCCAGGGCCCAACTGCTTGACTCTCATTCCTGTGACAGCGCATTAAAAAAAAGGTTGCTGAGTTAAATTCTACATTTAAAATTCCTTGAAGATGCAGACGGCGTCCTACTCATTTTGCACCCTCTCTCGGTGCCGGCGTTGCCCTTGTGCATAGTGGGTGCGCACAGTGCACCCATCAGGCTTGTCTTCTCCATCCTCTCCTCCATTTTGGATTCTCAGAAAGACAGACATTAGGGAACTTACATCTGGATCCAGCTTCAGTCGAAGCTGTCCTTCACATTCATGCACAGGACTCCTGCGATGCGGCACTCAGCATCCGGGTAACTTGGGATAAATTGTTAAGCGCAGTTGTCCACTTTTAAAAACTAAAATTGACCCAAGTGCTTGTCTTTCAGGATTGTCTTGGGATTAAATGAGGCAAGAAATCTAAACCTCCTTTGGTGTAGTAGATGCTCCAACACCGGAAGCTAGGATTTTTAACATTAAAGCTGGGCATGAAATTTCTGTGGACCTTTTACAAAACACACATTTATTCTTTGTTTCTACTGGAGTTAATGGTACTGAGTGTTTAGCGACAAGTCATTTGTTTTCAGAGAATGCCCCCCTCCTACATTTTTTTTGGGAGGAGCCTAATCCTTCCTACTAACCCCCCCCTTATGCCTTGAATGGGGGCAGAGTCTGTCCTCCCTGTCCAACTTTTAACTTCCAGATATGACCTTGGCCTCATAGCATGTGGACAGCCTGTGCCTTGCACTTCAGAACTTCGGGTCCTGGTTGACTGCATCCTTTGTGTTAGCTCTGACTCTTCCCATAAGCTGCAGGAGCAGGGTGGGGACCTCTCCCATTCCTCTCTGGGGGAGTCTTCCTGTCAAGAGATACTTGATTGTCTCTAATTCTGAAGAAACGGAGAGGAGAGGTGCCGTGTTTGGAAAAGAGCTTTGTGGAGTCTGAACTCTGGCGAAACATACCTTGCTGAGAGGCAGTGCTCAGGACGGGTCTTGGTGCCTAGGAAAGACTGGATTTAAGAAGAGTCCTGGTGTGTGAGGCAGGATTGGGGTTACTTTCCTGGCTTTGCTGTTAGCTCTCCCCTCCTCAGGCCACTAGCTCTAACTTTGCCTGGGCAAAAAAGGGAAGGTAAAAAAAAAAAAAAACCAACTTTTTTTTGAAAGGAGAATGTTGTGATGAGAAACCATAAATTTGAAAGTAAAACACCAAATGAAGTCTGTGAAATTCTCTCAGTACCTTGTCTGATGTATTCTGCATGACTATTGTACATAATATAATTTCCTTTGCAATAAAATTATTACTTAACATTTTATTTGACAGCATAAATTTCAGATGGCTTTGCTCTCTACTCTTTTATTATTCATTTCGTTTGTCCTTTCACTTGCAATTGCTTGTTTGCATCATCATTTGTGGGCACATGAAAACCAAGCCGGTGTTTTCCTTCCAAGATCTTCAGGGCTGGAGAAGTAACTTTTGGACCACAGTGGATGAAGGAGAACCATGCTGAGCACCTCGGGTGATGCGGGAGGTGGAGCCTGACCTCTGTGGGGGACAAGATTCATGAGATGGCTGCTTCTTTGGACAGCAGAAAAAGGAGGCCAGAGGTTCAATTTACAGTTTAGCTGAGTTCAAGGCTACACATTGCCCAAATCCATGTGAATTAAAATCGCATGGTTCAAGACAGAAATCAGGAAGTGCATCTGCAGATGAAGGCACCGCACCGACACAGATAACATCAACTATAGTAGCTAGCCTTGTGCCAGTACTTACCATAGTAGGTGCTCTAGCAACCGTGAGGAGGAATGCTACACTTCAGTGGAATGCCATCAAAGAGATGTAGGCTGGCCGGGGAGGTGGCTCAGTAGAATAAGTGCTTCCCTGGCAAGCAAATACAAGGTTCTGAGTTCAATCCCTGGTTCTGAGAGAGAGAGAGAGAGAGAGAGAGAGAGAGAGAGAGAGAGAGAGAGAGATTGAGAGATTTTTACATTTACATAAGTAGCATATCTTCTTACACTGAAGATGAGGCCAATAAGACAAGGTCATATATAGAGCAAACACCAGCAGACTGGAACCAGCACACACCGTCATCATTTATTTTCTTTGCAGATTCGAATTTTCATCTGAATGTTATCCCAGGTAATTTAATAATGAAGATAGGCTCTTGGCTCCTTCAGTCTCGAACCTCTCCAAGTAGTATAAACCTGGGGTCCCTGTTCCAATTCTCTAGCTCCCCTTCTCATCGCTGAGTTGCTCTAAGACTGTGCTGATTTTGGATAACATTAAGCACAGTTTAGAAGTCTTGGGAAGGGGATGAGGAGAAGAAAGGAAGGCAGTGCTGAATTCCTGGGGACAGGGATCCAAGGTCTAATGCACCTCTTCATGTTCTCATCCCCAGGCTATGTGCAGGCTTGCCGAGCCTTAATGATTGCTGCTTCAGTTCTGGGTCTGCCGGCCATTCTGCTCCTGCTGACGGTTCTGCCCTGCATCCGGATGGGCCATGAGCCCGGTGTGGCCAAGTACAGGAGGGCCCAGCTGGCTGGTGTTCTGCTTATTCTACTGGGTAAGCTTTCTCTGTGGCACCTCTGCTCTGGGGGATCCTGATCTGTCTCAGATCCTAGGGTTGCTGCTTCATCTAGTTCAAGAGAAATGTGACAAGAAGCCAAGGGAATCCACTGAGCAACACCTGGATACCCAAGGTCTGTTTATATTTATGGGAAATTTAAACAAAAGGATAAGTGATATCTTGAGGCATGCTGACTATGAAAATGAGGTTTTTTTTCTTTAAAAAAAAAGAAAAATAAAGAGAAGATTTTGAGAGTGGGAAATACTTGAGAGAAAGACCAGAGAACAGGAGAAAGCTCCATGGTGGCTGGCTCTACCCAGGCCACAGATGGGCTTCCCTTTCAGAACACTTGCATCCAGTTTTCACAGAGGTACAATTAAATCAGAATTTTCTGGGGATCAGGTCATGGAAATATGGTTTTTGGAAGAAGCTGAGATGATCCTCAGTGCAACCAAGACTGAGAGCCTCAGTTGCTCTGCAAAGACTAGAGGAAGAGGAGGGCGAGAGAAAAGGCTTGAGGCTGGCAGACCAGTAGATGAGGATTCACTATTCTTATTCAGTAAGTGTTCATTAGGCATGGGTATCAGGGGCTGGGAATGATGGAGAAAAGAAGCAGCTTGTGTTCTAAGGACACACAGACACCTTGATAGCGTGTGGCCAGTGCATATCTAAAATGGTACCCAGGCTCTGCACATGTGCAGGAAGGCAGCTCATCCGGACTGAAGGAGTTTCCCAGAGCCAAGGAGCCCAGGGATGACTCTTGAGAGTTACAGTGAGACTGGTCAGGCCATGGATTGGAGAGGAGGGCTGTCCAGGCCAAGGGGACGGCCCAGTCAGTTTTGTTTAGTTGTTCAGTTTTGTTGCTTGGAGAGGGAATGTGTTGTTCAGTTTTGCTGCTTGTACTTGTACACAAAGCTTGACGCAACAACCAGCAGAGAGTCCTCTTTGCTCTCTTCTCTTTGGTGATTTAATTTCTGTTTTTTATTTTTTAGATGCTGATGCCATTAGCATAAATCTTTATGAAAGAAATGAATTTTAAGAATAGCAATTCTTATTAAAATGTGCATATGAATGAAAGAGAAACCGGTGTGGATGTAGTTTATAGTTATTTTCTCTTGGGACAAGGAACTGGCATACTAGATCAGGTCCTTAAGGGGTTGGGGAAAGGTGTCAGGAATCTGTATGCACAGATGCCACCTGGTGAGGGTCACCTCCCACAGGAGCCTTCTTAAGCCCCAATGAGGGGAAGTGAGAGGGCCTCACTGCTCATGACTATGAAAGGGTCGGGGTTTGTGTAACTGTGGAGAACTTTAAGTAGAGCTGTTTGCCCGTGTGTGTGTGTGTGTGTGTGTGTGTGTGTGTGTGTGTGTGTGTGTGTTCGTGTGTGTCCTAACAGGGGTGAAAGTAGAAAAAGACCATTATAACTTCCTTCAAGAATCCGTGGAAAATTTGATTCTGGTCACAGTCAGTGTGTGAGGGCCATAAGGAACATTAATCAGCCTCTGTGCTCCTCCTCGTGGGTATGCCCTTCTTATAGAGCTTCCTGGGGCTCAGAGGTCCAATTCCCTTTCCAATGGGAAGATCAGTGCCCTACAGGCAAACTGCACTGTGGGATCCAGATGAATTTTCCTCCTCCTTGGCACTTGCTGCTTGTTCCTTTCCTCACATTCTCTTGGAATCTCCAGAAGGTTCTTTGGTGCTCTGGGAATGGCAAACAGTAAGTGTGTGTTGTGTAGGCATTTATCTCCAGACATCCTAGCCTTTCGCACAAGACTCATGGAGTGTCCACAGTGAGAGAATATGTCCAAACCAATGCCAACAAACTGTGGAAAATGGAGGGATAAAAAGCAAAGTATCCAGAGACAAATTGGCTTTCAAAAACTCTAAAAATATGTTTTCTAGCTGAATAACCAGGATTCCCTGGAGGGGAAAACAGAAACCAGTGGTTTGAAGCTGTCTAGCTGAATTAGTTTTCTTTATCTTTCAAAGATAGTTTGGCACACAGAGGATAGCATCATAGGCAAGGGAAGCAAGGGAAGTCCCTATTTGCCTGTCTGGAGTTGAAACCACAGGGAAATGGGGACCTGAGTAACCCAGCCCCCAAGGAGACTGCACCTTTCCAACTGTTCAAAACCTGAATGTGCGAGGGCCGCTCACAGCCCACGTACACCACTGCATTTCCAGTACCGGCTGCCTCTTCTTCACTCCTGCCCAGATTTAGTTCTCAGTGGGTCATTGCCTTTGGGGTGGATGCTGTTTTGACTGGAACAAGCCAGCTCTGGGAATGTAAAGCTCATTGTCTCAAGTGTGGCACCTGCTGATCTCTAGGTCTTCTCATCGGAGCCCCCAGTGCCTTGTTTTCTAGCCTTGGCTGATCCGAGGGAGGAGCGGGAGAGTGAAGGGCCTCTTTGTGTTGTTCCAGGCTGGTTTCTTTCACTCTCTCGGAGAAGCTGGGGCTGGGCCCATGCTGGGTGCTAGGGGTCACCGGATGGCACTCCAGCTGAGGTCTGGTTCCGGACCAAAGGGGATGGATGGGGCAACACTGGAGCTGGGCTCACGCTAGTCCTGGGATGGAAAGTGTTGACACAATTAAAATCATTTCTTTCTGATGTTCCATATCGTGACTATCTTTCTGAAAGCTTAAAAATACTTTGCCTGTCCTACAACTCTATCTTCTCAGCAGGCTTGGTTGATGGTGTGGAGATTTGGTTCCTGCTGTGGGTAGGAACAGGAGCCTGGTGCTGCTGGCTCTTAAGCTGGTTGAGTGGCTCAAGGAGCAGCAGATGCCTCGGATCTGAGCTGGACGGAAGGAATCTTATCTGTTTGCAGGTTTTCGAGAGACTCCCTCAAGGCTAGATCTTATCAGTTGGAGTCTGGTGGATTCTCCTGCTTTCCAGCTGTGTGAACTGGGGCAGATGTATCTGAGTCTTTCTATATAAAATGGGAAAAATAATTTCTACTTCCCAGGTTGGTAAGACGTGTGAAATGATATAAAAAAATACTTAGTATGGTATCTGGCTCATAGGAAGTGCTCATTAGCGGATTATAGCTGTTGTCTTAGAGGAAACAGAGCGCTCACCCAGAGGGCGGGTGCTCTTTTTCCAGTCAAGTGTCCTTTCTGCGGTGTCATCTCTATACTCCCAAGTGGTGAAGAGAGACAGCAGTCTGCTTCTGGAAATGCCACCTGAATTCTGGGATCATGGAAATATTTCCTTTGTTAACTCTAAAAACCAGAATGTGATTTGAGTAGTTGGAGATTTTTGCTTCTCATCATGAAAACCCACAGTGACCCACCTTCCTGAAAAACTCTGGATCTTAGTTCTGGCTTAGGCTAATTGTTACACTACTGTGAGTTAGAAGATACTTTTATTTGGGTGTTTTTAAGGACTGAGGTAGGGGATAAAAGGAATGGAAATGTACTTTGCTTCCTACATGGAATGTTTTTGTTTTCTCTTCTTCTTTTTAAAAAATATGGTTCCAGTAATCTTATTTCATAGTGGAAAAAGTTGTTTTAACTTGGAAATTTCAGAAGAAATTATGGCAAAATAAAGTGCAGGCAAACGTGGGACAAACAGCCTATCACACACACCGAATCAAATGTCCTACAGGAAAAAGGACTCCTTGGGTGTGGAATAAGTAGAGATATGCTTAATCCAAGGGTGTTGGGAGAATGATTAGAAAAATCTTCCTCCAATCTCATTAACTTTATACCAACAAATCCCTAATCTAAATAATATTTTGTGTGGGTGGGACAAAGGATGTGGTACCTAAACATGCCTGTGGTTTACAGTGACTTTAGCAGTAAACTTAGAGGCATGAAATGAACCCTGCCTGTTTTTAAATTTTATGCTTTAAAAAAAAGATGATAAGGGATTATGGAAGTGACTCAGTGGCAGATTAAAGTACGGGGGTGGGGGGTTGGGGGTTGGGGTTGGGGTGGGGTGAGGTGGGAGGGTGGGGTGTTTGATCCCTGGGGCTGCCATGCTGGCCCTGCCCCTGGGGCACCCTGAAACAGCAATTCAGACTGGGCGTGGTGGTGTGCACCTGTAATCCCAGCTCTTGGGAGGCTGTAAACAGGTGGATTACTACAAGTCGGATATAGTAGTGAGAACCTGAACACCCTGTATACTCTTCCCCCCGCTGGGGGGAAAAAATTCTAGCATTATAACAAATGAAAAAGACAGAAACTGAAAACCAAAAAGCTCCTTAAAAAGTCTTAGGGAAAACAATGAATGGAAAAAATAAAGGGAAAAATTTTGAAAGCCTATCAGCAAAATAATAATTCATTATTGAGTATTAAACATTTTAATTTTTTCTAAAAGTCACTTATATAGGAGCTGTAATCCTCTGACAGCTGTTTAATGAGACAGACGAGAAAAAAAAAGATTTAAACAAGAACAGTTAATAAATATGACGTTGGCCATTGGCTTACTAGAAATCTCATTACTTGTCTCCTGGAATAATCTTTGTGAAAAGCTAAAATGGGTTGCTGCTTAGTTCCTGTGCTATAATAGCATTGATTATAGAAGGCAGTGTTCAATATCTTGTAAAATGTTAACTAGAGGTGGATTAAAAAAAAGTTTTATTGTGATAAGTTTCAAATGTACAGAAGTAGAAGGAATGGTGTAATAGATCCCTCTGAACTCAAGCTCCCTCTCAGCAATGAGGAACTCATGGATTATTCGTTCCACCTCTTTACTTCTCCATTTCTTCCAGGACGCAAACCTTAGCATATCAAGGAAGAATTTCCCTTCATTATTACAGCATAGTTGCAGCAACTTAAGTGATTTTTAATGAAATGATACCTTACACTAAACTCATCACCCTCCAAAGTCCTTTCAGTGCCTCGTATTGAGAGTGACAGGCTGGAAAAAGAGGCGGTCATTAGGAAAGGGTCGAGATGTCCGTGTCAAAGCTGATTTTGCTCTGCTTTAATTCCTAGTACTTATCATCCTTGTCCTCCTTGGCTGTGAGTTATTACTGCTAGAATCAAACACATCTATATCAATTGTATTTAACTTGATCACATTTGCTTTTCCTTTTTTTACAAGTAAAATTTTAATTGATGTGTAATAATCATACATATTTATGAGGAAGTATGCGTCACCTTTATTTCATTCTCTAATTTTACTAGGTGTTATTTAATCCCTTTAAAGACTGAAAGCGATATTAAAGTTTTATTGCTTTAAAACTGCCATGCCAATTCTGCTTGGTTAAGTCAAACCATTGTTAATTTGTAACAGGAGGATGTTCTATCGATTAAAGAATACATTGTGCTAACATTATTTGAAATTTGCTCCCAAAGAGGTACTCAATTTCATTCATTGATGAGCAAGAGATTCTCCTTATGAGAAGACCAAGCCCAGATGCATATTTGTACAGGGTGACGCTTTCTTCTCTTCTTCTCCACTCCTTCCTATTCTTATATTCTTTAAGAATATCTGCAATTTTGCTTTCTATTCCCTGGGAACAAATAGCAGCCATTCTCCCCGCATCCCTTTGTATCTGTGGAAGGCAAACAAGGGAAAAGAGCCTGAAAAAATCACTGCTCATGTTCTTATCTTGTTTTTAGAGGCTTAATTGAAAAATAAAACCTGATGACATAAAATGAAAAGAGTGAAAAATGCCCTCTGTGTTTCTTCAATTTTCTTTACCTTAATGGTGATGGATATTTTAGAACAACACCTGGTATTCTCCAAATATCAGCACATCCTAAGATTTTTTTTTCCTTTTTTGTCAACAACTAGAAATAAATCTAGCAAGCCTTCTGTGTCTTTAATAACACTGGTCTAGGTGTGGGGTGCACTGCTGTAAATGTAGCCCAACCTGGGCAAGCTAGTGATTTAGCAAGACTGTCTAAAAAACAAACAAACAAAAAAAATGCAAACACAAAAGATGGGTGCACTCTGGTTGTAGCTCAGTGCGAATGTCTTGCCTGGGCTTAATTCCTAGTACTTCACACATACAAAAAAATCCAAGAAAATAATGCCAGTTTTATTAATATTTCACAATGTTTTAGTTAAGCAGTGATTTCACTTACACTTTTAACTTTACTCACCAAAATGCATCCGTTTTTCCGTCAAGCCATTGCTGAAATTTAACAAATTCTCCTTTCTTAGGTTCCACACGTTTTTCCTCTGGAGTTCAGGCGAAGGTCAGGGTTCCTAGCGCGCCTCTCATTTCCTCTCATTTCGTGGGGCCTGTCATTTCAGAGTGGTTTTGATGTGGTTCATCTTTGAGCGCCACAGGAATTCCACCCAGGATCATTTATCTACCAGGAAATGAAGAGCCTGCTGGTACTCATTTGCCTTGTTTTGCATGGATTATGAAAGCAGGAGATATTTAGTGAGGTAAATCGTGAGCTTGTGAGCTTGAAAATCAGTTGTGGTATAGGAAGGGAAATGTAGACCTGAAGTGGGGTCATCTCTCACCTACCTACCCATTCCTCTGCCTTCCCTCTGTCCACCAACTTATTTACCCAACCGTAAGAGGTTCATTTTACAATGTTCAGACGTCTTCCTTGTTTCTCTTTTATTAATACATTATATTACAGTAGAATCTACCAACATCTCTAAGATGGTTATTTGTAGAATATCAAGCCCGATTCTTTCCCTGTCTAGATATAATTCTATTTTATTACTTTGCCTAAAAAATGGGAATGAATTAGATGTATTTACTGGCAATTTTCTGGGTCTTATTCTATAAGATCTAAACCAAATCTGACAATCATTTGGTTTCATGAGATTCTTTGGGAATACCTTTGTGTATGTGTGTGCCTGTGTGTTGAATGTGTAAATGCAAAAAATTGAAAAACATAAAACATAATTAGAACCATAAGCTGTTTTGAAGCCAGTTAACTGCTTATGGGAAAGATTTGTTGGATTGAACCAAACCAGTTGCTTAGGAATTAAAATTTTTTTCCCTACCTAATTCATCTTTTCATTGTGCACTTTTTCATTCTAAACAAACCTGGGGCCTGAAAACCCTTGCTAGATTGGGGATCTCTGGGTATGTGAGTATTGTATATTGCTCTGGGGAATCTATAGCAGTTCTCTCAGGCCGAAATACTTTGGAACAGAATTTCTGACTCCTGGCCTCACAGAAAAAAGATTTTCTCTATGCTTGGCTAAATGGAATTCTCCAGGAGTGCTTGCTTTGGAATCCATAGCTAGAAGAAGAGAGAAAAAGACTTTTCTCTGTTTCTGAGGTTTTCAAAACCTAGCAGGAAAAGGAAAACTCAAACACTGGTCTTCTTAGTGAGTATTGCAACAGAGCTATAGGAAGCTCACTAACACCAGCACAACAATTTCTCTTTTTTTTTTTTTTTTTTTTGGCGGAACCGGAGATTGAACTGAGATCCTTGCGTTTGCCAGTCAAGCGCTTATCCTACTGAGCCATCTCCCCGGCCCCCACTGGTCTTCTTAAACATTCTTCACAGAAGGAAATTATATCTTGTCATATAAAAAGTATTATGGAAGTAGATGTTATTTCATCTACTTTTCTTTTTTAAGAGAAAGGAAGTCATTAACAGGTAAGATTTTAGCCACTTAGTTAATCTGGATAAATTCAGTGTAAACTTAATTGTGTAGACTGGTTCACAATTAATGGAGTGAATTTAGGCTGATCGAAACCATGGTGCATAAATGTAATATTAACATTCCAGAGGCAAAGGCAGAAAGATTCCCATGGGTTCGAAGCCAGCTTGGACTACATAGTCAGTTCAAGGCCAGCTTAAACTACAAAGCAAGACACTGTCTCAAAAAAAACCAAAAAGCAAAATAAGCCAATCAGGGCAATTCAAACCTTTCTAGCCCCTGACTTACACTTGGTGCTATAAATTTTAAGGATAGGAGACCTGGCCATTTATGTGTGTCTATAGTTTGTGGGGGTGAGTTGATTGCATTGGCAACAAAAATCTTCATCATAAATTATAAAAGTGCAATGAGAAACTTTAAGTGTCTTTGAAGACCCTTATTTCTTCAGTTTAGAGTGAATGTACTGGCTGTTATATTTAAATGCTTACATTGAAGAAAAAATGTATTTTTCTTTTTGGACGAAAAAGTTGAGTTAGAAAAATCACTTGGTGTGAAAATGAAAATCAAGAAAAACCTTGCTGAGTTGAAAGAGAAAAGGGCACTCAAGATTAGCAAATACCAGACTGGTAACAATGCTCTGTTTTGAATTTGTTGGGGGCTTTTGTAGTTAACCACTGAAACCTCATTATTAGTTTTGCATCTGCCAAATTTAATGTGTCATTTCAACTTGAAATTTCAACTAAAATCTCTGTCCCACTTGTGAGAAATTAAATGGTACCTAAAGAAGTCACTGAGTTAACTTTGGAGTTACGTTGTCTTAATAGAACAGCCACTAACCGCCTGTGGCCATTTAAGTGAAAATTAACTAAAATTGCAAATTCAGTTCTTCAGCCTCATTCGCCTCAGGACAGATGTTCAATGGCTCCATGTAGCTGTGGCTACCCTATTGGTAGTTCTGGTCTAAGTGTTTTTTAAAAAGGTATCTCCATAGGCTCTTGCTTGCTTTTGTTCTATTATTTTTCTTCAGAGGAAGAGCAAAACTAAATAAGATAGAAGGCATTTCCAAATCTATAAACTCTAAACTAAATCTGATTAGATTTAATTGATGTAAAAGCATGAAGTTCTAACACTGTGACATAACAAATATCATCATCATGAAATCTGTGAATAGTGAGTTCTTTTACTCTAGGGATTCTTCATTTGTGTGGTGGGATTTTGTGATTGTGACTAGCGTAACAAAAACTCAAACCCTTACCTGATATTCCACTTATGTCTAGCAATATTTACTACCACAGCAAGAGAACTGCGTAGCTTCTTGAGGTCCTGGTATCGAGAATTGGCCAAGCTGACAGAGTAGAGTGAAAACTTATGGGGGAGGCTGTCTTACTTCCCATCTCTGGGTCAGTTATTTGAGTGTGTTGGGCATACACGATATGGCTGATACTGACCTAAACACGAGTGTTGAGGTATAAATAAGACATGACCCCACCTTCAAGGACCTCAGAGCCTCGAATGAGAGATAGATACACAAAAAGATAATTATAATGTGACTAGGAAAGAATTGTAACTATAGATGCAAAGGCATGATGTAGAAGTGAAAAGAAATACATATTTTTTAGTATTAAATAATTTACTTATTGAGTTTTCTGTGTATTTAGTTTTGTTTTTAGATGTCAGGAATCGAACTCAGGACCTTGTGCTTGCCAGGCAGGCCCTGGGCCTCTGAGCTATGTCCCCAGGCCCTACTTCTTGGTTTTTAAGTGAATGCTTTCCTCTTTGTCACCTGTTGAAAGAAGTAAGTTGGACACAAGCTGGCAGCTTTTTCTGTAAATGCAAACGTTGAGGTTTCAGCTGTCCCGGGAGCAGGGCAACCCCCAGTCCTGCTGACCCGGCCTGCAGGAGCTGGCAGGCAGGCGTCCGTGGGATGAGCTGGTCACGCCTCTCTCTGTCTCCCCAGCTCTCTGCGCCATCGTGGCCACCATCTGGTTCCCGGTGTGTGCCCACCGCGAGACCACCATCGTGAGCTTCGGCTACTCCCTGTACGCGGGCTGGATCGGGGCCGTGCTGTGCCTCGTGGGCGGCTGCGTCATCGTCTGCTGTGCCGGAGACGCGCAGTCCTTCGGAGAAAACCGCTTCTACTACTCCTCGGGCTCCAGCTCGCCGACCCACGCCAAGAGCGCGCACGTGTGAGCCGGCGCCCGCCCGCGGGGGCTGCAGGTGCCGGGCGGCCCCGGGTGGCTCGGCGGCCAGGGGGAGCAGGACCCAGTCCTCCGCCAGTCACCACGCCGAAGCCTACAAAGCAGCCCGCCTGGCGTTTTGCAGTCTTAACACCACGTCTGCCCACCACCTTCTGGGTCCCTTAAAAGAAATCTGTAGCTCAGATAATGCCCATCTCGTTTTCTCACGGTAATGCCCACTCTTAGCTCTTTTCTCGGAATTCCTTTGCTGTTTATTTAAAAACAAAAAACAATTTTGTTTCTTTCTAAATATTAAATGTTTCACAAACGTTGCTGAGTTGGCTATGGGTGGGGCAGAGAAATAAAAGATACTTTTCAAACTGTTACAGATGACAATAGGCTCCTCATAAAGATGCCTCTGTGTTCTTTCTCTCCTCTTCAGTTCCAAGGTCGCTTACTCAGAGGAGATAGCGACACAGAACAGGACATGGGTGGGGGGAGGGGAACTTGGGCTTTTCTCTTCGCGGGAGAGTTTCCCTTTTATAAGTTGAGTGCAGGGGGTGGGGATATTTTTTAGTTTCTGATTTTACATTTATCTGTACATAATTTTTCAAGATTGATCATTTTTATAACCATGGTTTTCCTGAAATTCTCAATTCATCAGTATGAAGGAAATGAACCAAATAGACTTTAATTATCCAATAAATAACAGTAAAAATGAATATAACTTTCACTGACATTCCACAAAACAGTTTTCAGTTCCAGGTTTGTATGATGTAGTTTTTAATCCTGCATATGCATTGAATTAACACAGTTTTAGAGCTTTATCTACTTTCTCTCTCTGCTTTTGTTCTGGTCTGTCTTGCCGTGATGTGGTTTAACAGAAATTGTACTGTTGAATTTGGCTTTACGGGTGTAAACACTGATGGTATATCAGTATCCAAGACCCCAGCCTCTTCAAACATAGATGGTGCATTTTGTTCTTTAAGAGATACTTGTGCAATAAAATAACAAATTGTCCCCAAAACTGGCCTTCAATTTTTTGTTGTATCCAGAGGGATCATCTACTGATTAAAAAAAATCAAAAACAAACAAACAAAAAAAACCCCCCACAACTCACTCATCTCTACTGGTAATTTTAAGAGAGCCCAATCAGTGAGTTAGGAGCAAGTCCTTCTGCATTGTCTCGGGTAATTGAAAGGTTATATTTTCTTCACTGTATGGTGGTGGCAATGTGGGGTCATGACAATGTAAGATAAATGTCCTGTAGGTTATTCAAGTGGAGTGACTTACCTCCTTAAGTCATAGGTAACTGCAGAGTGCAAGTGCTAAGCATTACACAGTTAAACTCCTTTATCTGCACTGACTATTTAGTAAAAAAATTTAGCTGAACATAAAGGGAAAATTAAACCCAGAATCTTTAGGTATAATACCTAAATGTACGCTATTTTGTTCAAATATATAAAGGTAGAGATTTATAAATTTAGGATAAAGACATACCCAGTTAACTTTCATTTGTTTTTTAGTTCAGAAACTGTCAAGTTATGGGCCTGCTGAAAGCAAACAGATCACAATCTATTTTGGCAGGCTTTTTCCAAATAAAAACCTGGTTTCATCAGCTGATTGTGTAATGACTGGCAAACATTCCTCTTTGGAAATATCCATTTGGGACTTATCATTTGTTTGTTTTTGTACAGAAATTTGTGTATATTGGGGTGTTATTGCCAGGTGGGAAATATTTTTTGATGAAGTATCTGAAAGGACAATCTTCATGTTGACCAAAATATTTGCTTGGCTATGATACAGTTTGTGTAAGAGTCTGAATCATGTGACTACTGGAGGACCCTGCTGCCTCACTCAGACTTGTCAGGATGAGGCGATTATGGATGTGAGTGGCGCTCCAGGCAGTGCAGGGGACAGATGAGTAAGGCTGTGGGTCCTCTGAGTCCTCCTTCAGGACTCATAGTTCCTCATACCTGAGGCACTTGCTGTCATCACCCACCTGGGCGCTTGCCTGAGGCTTCTCCTTGCTTCCTGTGAGAGGGAGAATACTGCTGAGCCCTGCTTTCTCAGAAGGAGATCCCACAGCTCTTCTAATTGACATCACCGGACTCAGGAGGGAATCCCATCTTGTGGGCTGTCACAGCAGGGGTAAGGTTTATTTTCAGCTTGAGAGAGGAGGGCAGATATTTCTCTAGGATGACACTGTGCAATAGGAATGGGTGAGCCTCCTATGCAATTCAAAATGTTTTAGTAGGAAAAAAAACCCCACACCCCACACACAAATAAAAGTTTCTAGTAGACAAAAATAAATGAGTGAAGTTAATTTTAATACATTTTATTTGATAGCATATATCCAAATTGTATTATTTCAATATGAAATTGATTCATGTGAGTCTTACACCTTTTTGGGGGTCTAGTACTGAAAACTGAACAAAGGGAGCACTGAGCTACATTATCAGCCCCTCAAAATTTAAAATTTTTGTGACAAGGCTTTGCTAAGTTTCATAGGCTGGTTTTGAATTTGCAGTCCTTCTGCCTCAGCTTCCTCAATTTTAAATTAAGCTTTTGGAGTCTAGTGTGTGTACATTATGCTTATAACACATCTCAATTTGTACTCTACAGGATTTTGGATTAGACAGCAAGCTATAGAATGATAGACTCTGCCCCATAAAGGATTCAGTCTGGTTTGTTCTGCTGTCTCTGGAGTTTCACTAGAACATGACAATTATGATTTATCGAATAGTTACACCAAATCTTTGTATTGGTGTGCAACCTGTGACCCTCAGGTGTGTGTGACAATGGCAGACCTGAAGTCTTCTACCTAATCAACAGAGTGAGGGGAATTCATGCAGCTGAGTTTGTGTCAGGACCTTGCACATCTAGTACTTTCCACAGCTATTGTAGGGAGAAGGAAAAGAGATGTGGAGACTTGAAGTTTGTCAACATCATAGAGACACTGTATGCAACTAAAAGCGATTTAATTTTGTTTAACTCTAAAGCCACCCCACCCCTATTTTCCACTTTCATGGTTACTTCCAAGGAGTCAGGTAAAATGCAGACTTATTTTTTTTCACCCCTCAAGACAAACTCAGTAGATCTGAGTCCAGACAATTCTTATTGCACTTCCCTGTGGTTCTGATGAGGTGGTCCCTGCACCACATTTTGAGAACTAGTGAGCAGAAAGACTTCTTCCTCGTTCTTTTCTGTACCGCAGTTGAAGTCATCCCTTGTTCTCTCTTTGATGATCATCAGGGGTTAGACGATTTTGAGAGTCAAACCACGCTCTATTACCCTCTCTGCAGTGTGTTGTGAAGAGACTGCATGCTGGGGTCTTTGAGTTAAGAATGGCTCAGTGCTGTGCATGCTTTCTGAGAATACAATAGAAACCCAAGTAGAGAAAAGAATATTTCAAGAAAATCTCTGAGTCTAGGGATATTAGTTACAGGGACAGCAACCAAAAGAGAAGATTGTGTAATGACAGAATACAAGTTACATATTTGTGCTGAACTGGTGGTTTGATGTAACAATAGAACAAGGTTTGGCTGTATCTTGTGGTTTTTTTTTTTTAATTAAAAAAATCTGCGTGTCACTGTTTCTCTATACAATGTACACAATGTGAACTGCAACATCTTAAATGTTTGGCAGGACATTCATGCTCATGACATCACATGCTGGGAGGACAGGGAGGCCACTGTGGGGCTGGCCCTGGGGAGAGGCTGCATCAGTGTGGCCATTGAGATGGCCCCACAAAAGAGTGTGTGACAGCCAGATGCGCAGCTTAATGGGGACTGAACCGGGCTTGTGGGAGGAACATTGGCACATGCTGCTGATGGCTTGAATAGCAGCTCTTGAGGAATCTATATTTCTTTACCTCACGAAGGACCTCAGAGCTTGGGCTTTGTGGCCCTGGAGTGGGGAAGGGAGTGGAGACGGGAGGACTTGTCACTGCTCTGTGCCCCATTGTTGAAATGGAAAATGTGGACTGTAAGCTTTAACTAGAGACTTGTGCAATTGCTTATCCTTGCATCCATGTTACCTTCCAAATGGCAGAGAGCACTTGGTTTTCACAGTTGGGGGCTTCCTTTAATTAAGAGACCTATTCTCTATTTCTCGTGTGTTGAGTTAGACACAGGCATGGCTTTCAAGCAGGAGCATACACACAGGTCGGGGGCTCTTGTTAAAGGCAGACTCTGACTCAGCAGGCCAGGGTGGGCCCGATGCTCAGCATTTCCATCAAGCTCTCTCAGGATGCTGTCGCTGCTGGTCCTGGGCTCATACCCTGAGCAAGCAGCCTCGAGTCCATGTCCTGCTGACACAGAGGCTGTCACCGTACAGATACTGGGAGGGTATTTTGCCTTTCAAAATACTTCTGAAGTTTTGCTGGCCAATAAGTCTGGTGCAGAATCATTAATTTGGCTTTAAGTTTTTGTGCCTCAATAGCATATGGACACTCAGTCTAATGCTGGAGTCAATTACTACTAGTGAGCACCAGTATGGCTCATGCAAGCCAATTATCAAATATTTAGGAATTTTGTGAGCCAGATGATGTCACATTATGAGTTTGATAGCATCCATGGTTGGATACGTCTATACACTATGAATCAGATGTTCTCCTTGGCTGACTCCCACTCCCACGTCCAGCTACCCGACTGTTAAGCATATCCCAGCCACAACCACCCAGCTCTTGGGAACCATATGTTATACTAGACCAGGCTTTGACGCCTTAACAGTGAAACACTGTATCCCTCCTGCTCTGAGAGATAAAGAAGAGGAGAAAGGTGGGGAGAGCTGTGAGTATAGGGGGTGAGGGAAAGGAGGGGTGCTAGCTGCAGACTCTTGCAGTCCTGTGTGCCTGGCTCTTGTGTCATTAATCTGAGGACCTTTGTGGCCTGGTCAGAGGAGAGGCCACCTTTACACATGCTTGGAGCCTACAGGCTCAGACAGCAGGTTTTTTTTTTGGCAGAACCAGGGATTGAACTCAGGCCCTTGTGCTTGCCAGGGAAGCGCTTATTCCACTGAACCATCTCCCCAGCCCCCCTCTGCTCTCTTTTGAACTCATCTATTGTGCTTACTGGTTTCACTGGTCTGGTTTCTGAAAGTTTCTTGGTAGATTTAGCTTTTTGATAGTCCATTCTATAATCTCAGCACTCTGGGAAGCTGAGGCAGGAGGACTATAAGTTCAAGCCCAGGCTGGACAATGTAGCAATTTAGCAAAGAAAAGAAAAAGCCACCTTTTCCTTACCTCATATAAAAATAATAACAGTACAAACGTTCCTCATTTAATGACCAACTGAAGTAACTTCCTGGGACTGAATTGTTAAATGAATGGGTTGCTAAATGAAGACTGGTATGTAGTATACACATGACAGTATTCAGAAGAAAGAAATGGTCAAAGAAATTCCAGCTTGATGACTTTGTCTTATTTGTATTACTCTTACATGCAGTACTATAATGCATAACAGGACAAAACTGCTGTACTGTACTGAACAGTAAAATGACCATACTGTACAAACAAGGTGTACCACACACACACACACACACACACACACACACATGCACACGTACGTGCACACACACACACACACACACACTGAGGCTCTATTAACAAGATGTGCAGAACTGTATACACATGGAAAAGGCTGTAAGCCTGCGCAGCAGGTCCTAAGCCTGCAGAGCATTGACTTGTTCAGATGCACCATGACTTGCTCAGTGAAATCCCAGGAAAACGTTGGCTATTTTGCTTCCTTTCTAGCGTCTTCTAATATCTCCATGAACATCTTTATGGGTAAGTCTTTACACATATACATGATGACCTTTTCAGGATAAATTTCTAGGGAGGAGTTTCTGGGTCATCA